CCGCGTGTCGTCATGAAAGTCGGCCTCGGGGAGACAGCGACGCCTACAGTGAGGAGTGCTGCCGTTGCTGGTTCCGCGACCTGATTCTGGGCATCGAGTATCGTAGGTGTCCCATTCGGTGCCCGCTCCTGTTTTACCCCAGACCTGACTAGCTCCAGTCCATGCCCAAGGTGTCATTCACCGCGACATCAAACCGGACAATCTTCTTCTGACGGAAGACGAGGTTCTCAAGGTCGTCGACTTTGGCGTCTCGGAAATGTTCGAGAAGCCAGACAGGATGATGACAGCCAAGTCGGCCGGCTCCCCCGCCTTTCTAGCCCCTGAGCTCTGCGTGGCCCGTCATGGTGATGTCTCGGGCAAGGCTGCTGATATTTGGTCCATGGGCGTCTCTCTGTACTGCCTGCGCTACGGCAAGCTGCCTTTCAGCCACGACGGCGTCTTGGAGATATACGAGGCGATAAAAAGCGATCCTCACGAGGTGCCAGAAGATGAGAATCCTCACTTGGCAGACCTCCTTAGCAAAATCCTCGAGAAAGACCCCCAGAACCGCATCAAGATGGCCGACCTACGGGTAAGCACGCCGTCCGCCACAGTGGTACACGTGAAGCCTTGCTAACCACACCCGCAGCAACATCCCTGGGTCACCAAGGAAGGCGCCGACCCCCTGCTCTCGGAAGACGATAACTGTGCGATGCTTGTCGACCCCCCTAACGAGCTTGAACTGAACCGCGCTTTCACCAGGAAGATGAATCATCTCCTCTGCGTCATGAAGGCCATCCAGAAATTCAAAGTCGTCCTAGCCCGACACCGCGCCAACGCCGCCAACCGCAGGGACGACGCTCTGCCTGCCCCCAAGGAGTCTGATTTCGACCCGGCCGAGGCCCGCGCCCGCGCCGAGGAGATTGAGGCTCTCGTCGAGCGGCGTCGCAACTTTATCGCCCGCCACAACTCGAGCCGCGGCACCGGCGACGGCAGCAGGGCCGCGTCCCCACGCCCCGAAGCGGTTCCTGAGCTCTTGACCGAGCTGGAGCCCCTCTTCCTCGGTATCGGCACCGGCGCGTGCGACGAGTTTGGCGAGCCTTTGACTGCCGATACGGTGGCCGAGTCACCGACGAATGCCGACTTTAATGTCTACGACCGGGCGTACGAGGAGGAGGTGCAGCGCATCATGGCCAATCCGGCGAGGAAACCGACGATGTACCTAACACGCTTTGTCAAGGAAAGGGAGAATTACCGCACAGTGGCCAACGTTGTGGATGGTACGGGAGGACATGGCCCAGGTCCTGATGAGGGTAAGGGGCGGTTCGCCGACTTGGTGACGAGGCTGGGGCAGGCGGTAAGGAGCAAGGAGGAGAGCAGGGAGCCCGCCGGGGCAGATAGTGAGAAGGGCGAGGTCGCCGATAAGCTGGAGCAGGCCAGTGGCATGCCGCACGAGGCAATCGCCGAGGGCCAGGGTCAAGTCGTCGCCGCCGGTGAGAAGGAGGCGTTGACAGCGAGCTGAGCGCCTTAGATTCTGCCAAGACTTTGTACGAGACTTTTGCTAGTGGAGGACGCAGTTCTGGATAGCGATGCTGGGCCATCTTTCTGGCACTTCTTGCGGTATACGATCTATGTGATAGCGAGACACGAATATCATGGGCTCGAGATGCATGCCTATCAAATCACGCCTATCCTACTTCTCTTGCCCTCTCCTGTACCTGTCTGCTGGTCCCTCAGCGTGCATACCGCACATCGTCGACACTTGAGTTTGATTCAACTCTTGGTCTTCCGTGATCGTACCGTCGAAAGATGGGTCTTGAAACATCGAGATACCAGCCGATCCCTCCGTTGAGCTCTCCCGCGCCGGCCCGATTGCGTCCTGCGGTCGAGCACCTCACTGTTGAGGACCCATCCAAGTAGACGAGCCACCAGCGCAAACCCGCTCGGAGGTTGAGTATGGCATCACGTCAAGAAGTCATCCCCCCCTCTTTTTCCAGCAACCAGTAGGTGGGCACCAGGCCCGAGTCCAGCCCGAAAACACGGGACCACCCGCAATCCAGCCATCTCCTGTACATACACGTCTCACAAGTCGGGATAATACCGAGAGTTGACTTAACCTTAATCGAGAGACATCCGGCTTGCCGAAGGCCTAGACCGCAAATCGCCGGGCCATATTGGGGATGAGGTCGGCAGGGAGCCGACATGGGAATCGGGAAAAAGACTTCTCGATGGAAGATGGACAGACTTTTGGGGTCCTGCAACGGCCCGCGTTCCATGGTGGGTTTGTTTGACATGTGACGAACGGGATATGAGACAGAGAGCGAGAAGAGAAAGAGGTCTCAGAGGTGGTGGGTTGTGCTGGACTCTCGACACCCGATGGCCTGGAGGTTTCGTCGCCGAGATTGTGACAGCTGGTAGTTCAAGACATCTTCGACAGGTTCCACGACCAGCTTGCACGGCAGACCAGGAGCCTCTTTCTTATTCGTTGAGGGGCTCAAGTGGTCACACGCCGATGAACCCCCCCCTGAAGAAGTGAAGATATCAACGGCTCGACTGACAGCAATTATGAGCACCGTTCGTAGGAAACTCGCGACTCGTGCAAGGAATACAGCATCAACATGGCTCGGTTGACCCCTACTCCCCGAATGTCCACCCAAACACACCGCAACCACAGAGCCGCCTTTGCGCTGGGCCTCTCCTCCCTCGCAACCCCGAAACGTGCCCGTCCACTCATCTTGATTCGTCTGCGAAAACCTTATCGGCGGGCCAATGCAGCACAGCCCAGCATACGCACGAAACCGAGATGATAGCCAGCTCAACCGGCCAACACGGGAGCTCGGAGTCGAGCTCCCCCATCAACAATGACGACACACGGCATAGAGCTCCCCCCTTGACCTGTTACACCTCGAGGTATACGTGCCTCGTTGGGCCCAGTACCATGGCTTGGCAATATGGAACCGCTGGCCCCCCTTCGCGGCGACAGCCTGCAGAGACGTCCATGCGCCCTGCAGTCTCACCGCCGCCGGAACGACACCACGGCAAAGCCGCCAGCAGAGGTGCAGCAACCTCTTGCTACGGTTTGGCTTGCCCATCGTCCGGACAAGTTACGATCGGCTATGAGCAGAAACAGCCATGCACCGACCATACGTGGCCATAACGCGCGCGCGCACGTGTCAGGGGGACGCCAAATGCAACCGCAGACGACCGGGTAACATGCAAGGCGGGAATATCGCCTGGTCTGTCACGAAGAGCAGCGGCCGCCAGAAGACCCAAGCTCGACTACTACGTTATTGACAGGTGCGTCCCGAGCGGGTGGCTGCGGGAA